AAATATTTAGAGTGAAGAAATGACTTACATAATTTGCAGAAAGTGTCCCTTGGACAAGCTTAAGGCTCAATCAAACTGTATAGTTTGCCTGGAGTTATTTTGAATTTCTGCATCTTCAGTCTTGTTGCTTGATGAATCTTAGCTTTTGCCAGTCCAAAGGTTCAGGGGCAAAAAAAATCCTAAGATATCAATTGTCCTCAAGCGTTGCTCTTCAAATAAAGCCATAAGATGAATGGTTGGTATTTGGCTCTAGTCTCCTCTGCAAAGCTTGCCTGTTTTTTATTCGCTTAGTTTTGTATTGTGTTTATTCAACATTTACGTTTTAGCAATTTCATTTTCTTCTTTAGGATGTCCGATCATCATTTGTGCACACTTCCCTGTTTCAAAAGTTCCAACTATGAAAACTTGATGTTGCACGTAGAGCTCTCTTAAAGGTCATTTGAATTTATTTTTCCTTCCTTGTGGGGTATGTAGAGAGGGGCTAAAGCAAACATTTGGCCTTTCCAGGGACCCAATACCTCTGTCCAAATTTCTGCCAGGTGTTTCTGCATTTGACCCCTTGTCAAAATCCACTCCTGCTCTTCAAGATGTTGATTCTTTGAGTGTAAATAAGTTGGAAGGGACCTTTGGGGTCTTCTAGTCTAACCCCCTGCTCAAGCAGGAGACTCTATACCATTTTAGACAAATTCTTGTCCAGCTCCTTCTTCAAAAGCCTCCATTGTTGGAGCAGCCACAACTTCTGAAGGCTAGTTGATCCACTGGCTAATTGTTCTCATTGTTAGGAAATTCCTTCTTAGTTCTAGGTTGGTTCTCTCCTTCATTCGTTTCCATTCATTGCTTCTTGTCCTGCCTTCAGGTGCTTTGGAGAAGAGCTTGACTTCCTCTTCTTTGGGGCAGCCCCTGAGATATTGGAACACTGCTATCATGTCTCCCCTAGTCCTTCTTCTCACTAGACTAGACATACCCAATTCCTGCAATCATTCTTCATATATTTTAGCTTCAACCCGATCTGAATTGATTGATGATAGGGATTGATGCAGAGGCCAGATTGGCAACCTTATGTAAAGAGATCACCGTGGGTCAAAGTTAGCATTAGTCACGACAAAGTTCTCCACTTATGCTGGGAGAAAGGAAATATTTGGTGTGAAAAACAGAGCGATGTGTGGAGATGAAACTCAACGCCTGTCGAGAACTTTGTTCTATTCGATATCTACAAAGCTTGGATATATGTGGCGAGGCAAGCAAACGCTATGTTTACATCCCTGGTCTCAGCAGAAGAGGCAAGAAAGGTGATTATTTCCTATGACTTCATGATTTTTGAACAATTAATTCCAAGAAAATTATAGATCACAGTTATTGACTGGTTCACACCACATGATAAATTGGAGTTCGGTAGTTGGTGATTCAGTGTGTTCGGTCATTGCCCAAATATGCTAAGGCACAGTTTGAAGCCTCCATATTATGTACTTGTTATAACATACCGTGTTATGTGAACATTATAATCACCTCCTGTTAAGCCAAGATTGAGGCTACTGCATTGTGTGAACTCACATTGAGTGTTGCAAGGAAAGGAAAATATATTTTTGTCTCTGTGTTAAGAGCTCGTACAGACATAACTCGGTTATTGAGGCTAGAACAGTATCACAAACTGTATTTGCTTTCTGATTTAGAATAGTTAAAAATAATCGCAAACAAGCTTTCTACATATTTCTCCACTGTTTGGAGGTGAAAAAGAGGCACTTTTTTTTTTTTTGCATTTAAAATACAACAGAGCATGCCTTGGTTAAAAATACTTTTGAAAACACTTTCACATACATTATGAAAGTGAGAAGTACATTTATAAAAGAGGGTTGAAAAATCTGTCTGCATAGATACTGGATTGGATAGGAAGGCAGAATTTGTGCACTGTGGTTTGTTTGATTTTTGGCTTAGTATGTAGTAACCCAGCCAAATTGGTTGGGAAGCCAGAGTTGGTTTGGTGCAACATGCGAACCCACCTATTATGGATTGTTCCACCAATAGAATAGAATAGAATACTTTTTATTGGCCAAGTGTGATTGGACATACAAGGGATTTGTCTTGGTGCAAATGCTCTCAGTGTACATAAAAGAAAAGATACATTTGTCAAGAGTCAAGAATCATCAGGTACAACACTTAATAATAGTCATAGGGTACAATAAGCAATCAAACCATACTGGGAAACAGTCAATATAGATCGTAAGGATACAAGCGACATAGTTACATTCATACAGTCACAAGTGGGAGGGGATGGGTGATAAGGAGTGACGAGAAGGTTAATAGTAATAGTACAAAGCAGACTTTGTAAATAGTTGGACAGTGTTGAGGGAATCATTTGTTTAGCAGAGTGATGGCCTTTGGGAAAAACCTGTCCTTATGTCTAGTTGTTCCACTGATAATGGTTAAAGACTAAACACTAAGCATAGACTAGTACAGAGATGGTTAATCAGAGGCTCCAACACCAAATAATGTTCCTGAAAATGTAGGGAGGTAATATTTTGAAGATAAGGTAAAATTTCGCTTCAATTAAGCTCAACTTCTGATGACTAGATTGATATGTTGCGGTGTTCTTTTGACAGCAGTACAAAAATAACTTGCCATTATCTTCTTCCAGGATGTTAGTTTGACTTCCCAGGTTGTTCTATAGCATGAGCATTTTTTAATAGTCTCTTATCCAGCTAATAACCAGTTCTGACTCAGTTTAACTTTGGAGATCAGTCAAGAAGAGGTAGATATTTCCACCTTAATCTAACTAAAGACAATACAATATTTACCTTTTTTTCCTTGCCTCACCTGTCCTGTGCCTCTTTCAGAAACCATAGGTGACCTTCAGCTCCCTTCCGGACAGTGCAATGAATGATGAATGGTTAAGGAAACTAGATATGTCTAGCCTAATGAAGAGTAGGCGTAGGGGGTGATATGATAGCAGTTTTCCTGTCCAGTGCCAGGAAAATCAGGAGATCCAGACAGTTCAAATAAATAAATATTTATTGTAAAATAAATTGTAAAATAAGCTTAAACCAGTGCTTTAATCCGCCACTAGCTCTCTACAAGAATCTGAACTACTAGCAGACAAGGGAAATTAGCAGGAGATAAGAGTAGAGAGAATTCAAGGTGAGCTGGACTGAGCTCTCTTATGGGTGTGAAAGGACTCGTAACTGATGGTGCATTTGACCCCTCCCTCAGTCTCAGCCTGGTCATCTCCTACATCTTCAGGACTTGAGGGCTTTCACATTCTCCAAAGCACCCGAGGGTAGGACAAAAAGCAATGGGTGAGAGCTTTTTAAGGAGACATCCAACCTGGAACAAGGGAGAAATTTCCCGACAGTCACAATGATTAATCAATGAGACAGCTTAGGTCCCAGAGTTGTGGGCGCCCCCTTCGATGGAGGTTTTCAAGAAATGGTTGGACAACCTTTTGTCTGGGATGATATAAATTCTCCTGCCTTGGGCAGGGGATTGGATTAAAAAAAAAACCCAAGGTTCATCCAATCCTATGGTTTAATACAGTTTATATCAGTGGCCAACAATCAATGAGCCAGGGACCACTGGTGGTGTCAGGTGGTGCCGCGAGAAAATTTTGGTGGTCCACAGAGAAATGTCACCCCCAAAGTACTCCCTCCAAAGCAATTAATCCAGGCTGTGTGGGAACACAAGGCCGCACTGCCCACATGGCCCGCGGGAATACAAGGCTTGCATTGCGAGTAACATGAGGTAGTGAGGGGAAGGGGGAAAGGGCTGGGGGGGGGACTTGCCCCACGCACCCATGTGCCTGGCCTGGCCACCGGGCTGCTTCTTTCTGCTTCTTTCTTCTTCTTCTGCTTTTGGCTGCATGCAAGGAAAGCAGCAAAAGTCTTTCTTTCTCTCCCCCAAACTCCACCAGAAATGAGTCTTTGGGACCCTGCAAGGCTTCCTGCTCCAAGAGGCTGCGCCAGCATGACAAGTCTCACCAAGACTCATTTCTAGAGGAGTTTGGGGGAGAGAAAGAAAGACTTCTGCTGCTTCTGCTGCTTTCCTTGCACGAAGCCAAAAGTCTCTCTCTCTCTCTCTGGGATTTTCCCAGGATCTCTGGTCCATGGGATTTAAAATTATGAGTTTGGTGGTCCCTGAGGTTCAAAAGGTTGGTGACCCCTGGTTTATATGATCTGTGGATTCTTTATCCCTATCCTAATATGCTGGAGCCCCCAGGGAGAAATTCAAGAAGGCTTTTGCCTTTCACCTCTTCAATTTGTTGCGGACGGTGCGCTGTTCATAACTACAATGAGCTATTGTATGATGATCAAGACTTTTCATGCTGAAGTTTGAAGAGGTTTTGCTTTTAATCAAATGTCAGAGGTTTTCACTAACTTAGGTTACTCCCTGTATGGGATGTTGTATTATGAAGAACTGGGATATTTTTTTAAAACGTTTAAGTATGAAATAAATGTAAAACTGTTTCTATACATTCTTATGATTTATTGTCAGTTTCGCGTTTGGGGAGGTTTATAAATTTAAATCATAAATGCTCATATGGAAAGTAGGAGATGGTGAGTTCTATCCCACCTTAGGCATGAAAAATGGCTGGGTGACTTTGGGCCAATCACCAGGAGACTGGGAGTTCTAGTTCTGCCTTAGCCCTGAAAAGCCGCTGGGTGACTTCGGGCCAATCGGCAAGAGACTGGGAGTTCAGCCCATCCCATCTCCCAGGTTGTTGTTATGAGGAAGGAAGAGGAAGAAGTCTTAGGTATGTTTTCTGCCTGAAGTTTATTTATAAATAAAGTTGAGATAGAAATCAATCCAACAAGTAACATCTTGGAAAAAGCTGGATTGTTGTTGTTATTTCTTGGTAGTATTGAACAATTACCGTTCTGCCGAAGAACATGTGCTTCTTTCGAAGCAAAGCTGGACTGGCTCATTCATTCATTCATTCATTCATTCATTCCTTCATTCATAAGCTCTCTCTCTCTCTTTCTCTCTGCCTCTTTTTTCCCCTTTGCAGCTTGCATCCCAGGCTCATCCCGATCGAATTGCCGGCCGCTTGTGAAAGAGGCTTAAAGCGGAAGATGGCAAAACCACAGCAGCCTGCTTTTCCGTCGCCCAGATGAGAGCTGTCTAAAAGAAAAACGATGCGGAGACCTCTCGGTGGGTAGCCCATGGCTTTGGAGCGAGCCAAGGAGGTGGGGCCACCTGATGCTTTGGGTCCGAAGGGCTTCATCCTTATAAGAAGAGATGCTAATTCAGAGCTCAACATTTCCCCCACCCCACTCACCCCTTGACAACGTGGCGAACGGAGAGTGATCTGATAGCGACTTGAATGTGAGGAGTCCCATCCTTGCTCCTTGGAAGGAAAAAAAAAAAAGAAACGACACCAAACACCGTTCCACTCTCTTGCTCTGCAGTGCAAAGAGAGACGTAGAGACTGCCTGGAATTAAAATGCCAGCCAAAGGCAAATACTTTCTTAACGAAAGTGAAGGTTGCAAGGTGACAGATCCCTTATACGAGAAGTATCTTTATGCAAGTCAACAACACCCACTCCTCTTCTTCCTGCTCTTCATTGTGGTTGCCTATTGCTCAACGCTCATCATAGTGCTCATCTCTTACGATGTGAGTATGTGTGCTGCTGTTCGTAGTTTTTCGACTCTGGATAAGACGGGAGGCTCCTAATTTCAGATGGACGAACCAGGATAGGAAGGCGAATTCACCCATCATGTTTAAATGCACAGGGCTTTGCATTTTTCCAAGCAGGTCCTCCCTAGCACAGTTAGGGAAAAGTTGATTTCTAAAGATACGAAAGCTGACGGAGGGAATTTGAAGAAATGCGTAACATGATGGGAAAAACTGCAAATAAAGATATTGCTTTTAGAGAAATGCAAGCACATTTTAACCTAAGCTTTAAAGAACCCCCTCTCAAGTTCAAAGAATGTTTTGGAAGCTTTTTCCTACCTGTATATCTTCACAGCAGAAATCAAAATGAATCTAGAATCTGTTAAGTCTGTTAAATGTTTCTCCAGATGCTCAGTAACTTAAAGGAATCCTAGAACTTTAATCTTAGATGTAATAGGAATAGGAATGTCAGATTATGATTGCTTCTAGCAAGCATGTAGCTCTAACGTGATCATTTCTGAAACTGTTGTTGAGGTTGAATGCAGTTGTTTTTAATGCATAAAGATCTAGACTTATAAGAACAAACTATTAAAAGTTTCTAGCTCAGCCAGATATCAGAAGGAAGAACTAAATATGATGAGACTTTCTGATTAACGTTTTCTGTGATAACAACCATTTGTTTGAAATGGAGTAGGCTTTCCTGCTTGAGTAAGAGATTGAAGACCTCCAAGGTTCCTTCCAACTCTGTTATTCTAGTTACTTGTATATTTCTCTACTCTGTCTCTAAAAGTTGAGGATAAGGGATGTGCCAGATTTACAATTCTGGAGATGAGAGACTTCAAACTATTTCTTTTTCCAGAATATTTTTCTAGATATTCACCAGATCCCCTGAGAATATTGCTATTCCCAGAATTCCAAAAAGCAGAATGTTCTGATGTTTTCTGTATCCTCAATTAGCAGGATCTAATAGCAAACGATGGGAAAGACCTCCCTAAAAGATTTAGAGAGCAATTGCTGAACGGTCCCATAGATCTGATGGACTAAGCTAAGTTTCTTCTCGGCCATTAGGAACCAGCTTCCGAGTTGGTGAATTAGTGAATTAAACTAAATGAGTAATTTAAAATGATTAAAATGCACAGACTGCAGCAAAATCTCACCATGGAATTACAAAAGGAACGATGAATGGAATACATGCTAATTTATCACAAACTCTAACTCAAAACCAACTTTTGTTTTACTTACAGAAAAACACCGGCCAGCGCCTGGCCTTCGTTGTCACTGTAAGCATTGCTCTCATCATCTTCATCATCATGTATATTTTAGTTTACGTCGAGTATTACTTTTGGTGCCAGCTGAAGCTCTTTGCAGTTGTGATCTGGATGAGCCTGCTGGCCATCGGATACGTGTCCATTTTCGACAATCCTACACCCGATGGATGGGAACAGGTATTTCTGTCCCCTGATTATGATGTCATCCTCACACCCGAGAGTGCCTGTGCACTCCCGAACACCCCTTTCATGACCCTCATTCACTACATCCAGATAGCACTGTACAGATACAACTGAACTAGACTGTGTTGTTTTCCTGTGTCATATAATATATGTGGGTATAGGCACAAATATTTATTTATTTATTCTGTCATTGTTATGTAATGCATATTGCAGGTGGTGACCCTTTGAGAGTTTATGCAATGAAATTTCATTTTAATGTGGTGTCTCAGCTGGCTAACCATAACATCTACCAGGTGGCGTGAGAACCAAGGTCATTTCAATGGACACCTGTTGAAGTTGAGTGGGAATATACACCTGGACTGATTAGTCCATGTGAACTGAGGGAAAAAATGGCATGGGGAGATCTTATTTTTTGAACCATCCCTAAGCAGGGGAATAATTTGGAGCTAGTTTCACCTTTCTAAGTGCCGATATGATGTACTTAATGAAGCAGGGGTCTTCAAACTTGACAGCGTTAAGATTTGTGGACTTCAACTCCCAGAATTCCTCCTCCGGTCATGTAAGCTCGGGAATTTTGGGAGTTGAAGTTGACAAGACTTAAACTTGCCGAGTTTGAAGAGCCTTGTGCTAACTGTTTCAATTAATGGAGATTTTTGAGGGTGCTAACATTTAAAGCATTATGTTGAGTCTCAAGAGACTTATACCGGAAACTTAAAAATTATTTTTTCTAAACATTGGTATTTTTTGTCTGCTTACCTGAGTGTTTGCAGAACGTTTGATCAACTTTCCTCTTGCATCTTCAATTATACATTCAATCAGTTCTTGTTCCTTTTCTAAATTACTGTTCTTAATTTTTTTCTTTCAGTAGTTTTTTTTCTCTTCTGGAGGAAAAAAAAGGCATTAAAACACACATTAAAAACCTATATATGCCATTTTGTTCCTTTATAGTATATAAAGTTTTTAAAATCGGCATGATAAGAAAAATGCACAGTTCTTTGGATTTTAAATATTAGAAATGGTGATAGCTAATAACTGATAACAGCAGCTGATAATTGTCATATTCTTCATCAGAGTTTCAAACTTGCCAAGTTTGAAGACCCCCTTGCAATAAAGGATCTGTCATGCCCTTGTTGGAATCTGATTCTGAGGGGGAGTTCAAACAGTTGACAGGGAGTCAGAATGTGGCTCTGGTGGTGTGGAGGAAACTGGGGAAGGGCACAGTCTGGCTGGGCATTCAGAGGAAGACCCAGGCCCACCCCCTCTTCATCCTAGGGCACTCAGGGAGGAATGGATAAGGGAACAACATGGGTTATGGGGGAGAAAATGGCCCTGAATCCCTTCATTAGCTGCAGTTGGGAAAACAGGATAAAGAGGGCGTTTGCGCACAGAACCTTGCTGGAAGCAAAGCGTGCATTATCTTTGTTTGTCAAGTCTTAGCTAGGTTCTGACATCCTCCCAACTGTGTGTGTTTTGTTATCTTTTGAAGTCTGCAATTCCTTATCCTGCCCTGTCTCGTTAATTGCCACAGCGTGGTTTGTGTTGGTTTTTATTTATAATTTAGATGTACTTTAGGTTCGGACTGAATTTCTTCTCTTTAAAAACTGTTCTTGGGAGAGTTTTTTTTCTCCAGCTGATGATAACTGGACCTCGGGGGCCAAGTTGGAGGAATTAAAGGGACTTTACCTACTTTTGTGACTTTGTTGCTTTTGTGCCACGCCCCTTTGGGTCAGGGGATCTTTTGAACCTGAACAAAGCATCAGAGTCCTGACTTCTCTGAGTTTCATTTATCAGAACGAATACAACCTTGTTTTTCTTCCAGGTGCCATTTTTTCTCTTCATCATCTTCACGACATACACCATGTTGCCCTTGGCTATGAGAGACGCTGTCATAGTCAGTTCCCTTTCTGCCCTTTCTCATATTATCGTTCTCAGCGTTACAGCAGCCGGAGACCACCAGCATCAACCCACCTTGCTCTTTCAGGTAAGGCACCTTGGGGAAACCGAAGCTCTGGACCACACCAAGTGGGACATTTGTGGGCGGATCGTCTGATCACAATTACCGAAACCCCAGCACGATTTCCTGCCTGCTGGTGGCCACGAAGAAAGCAGAAGTGTAAATCCTTGAAGAGGTTTCAGAAAGGATTAAGAAGCAAATTAAGAAAAAGTTGCTTTCCTTCTCCCGCCCCCCCACATCATTTCTCAAGCAATGTTCTTTTCTGGGGGTGGTGGAGGAAAGGCAATGGAACAATTCTTCTATTAAAAGGGTATTATAAATTGTGTAAGCTCTGATATTAGAAATGTTTTCTTCTTTAAAATTAGTAAAATTTAGCTAGCTTGTAAGTCTGACATACCTTCTATTGACTACTCTTTCAAAGTTCGGACAATTCTTCTCACGTTTTAACTTTAATACATGGGGGCATGCATAATACGAATCTCTATATGTGTGTAAACGTAGATTTTTCTGTACTTTGTTGTATTCCAAATTGGTCGTTGGATGTTCTCTTTTTCTTTGGTAAACCTGGTGGTGTTTCCTTCTTCCTTCTTTCCACAAGCATCTTCTAGAAGAGGTCCTGAAATGACAAAAGCAACCATGGGCCCAAGTTAGGCCACCAAAAGTTAATTCCCACCGGGATGGCGGCATGATTTCAGCATTTAAGCACATCCTGTAGAAAGTTTAAGCATTTTCTGGTTGAGGTGGAATGACTGTTTCATTTAGAGCGCAGAATAACAAGGTTGTGAGGGATCTTGGAAGTCTTCTAGTGCAAAATCCCTTGCTCAGGCAGGAGACCTCATACCAAACCTCCAGTGGTGGAGCACCTTCAACTTCTAGACTAGAGGGAAGCCATTCCACTGGTTAATTATTCTATTATGAAATTTAGTTCTTGGTTGGCTCTCTCTCTAATAATCTTCCATCCATTCCTTCTTGTCCTGCCATCAAATGCTTTGGAGCATTGGTTGACCCCCTTCTTCTCTATGATAGCCTCCATCTTAAAATTTAAGAGGAAATACAGATCTTAAATTCCTCAGGAGCTTTGATTCACATCAAAACAACATATGAGTGGTGGAGTGAAGCACAATGTTCTTCCCACATATTTGTTGATTTGATTTGTCAATTGCTTACAAGATAAGAGGTATAAGTATAAACATGAGTAAGAATACAGGAAATTTCTCACAAGGCAGTGCTAAATTCCAGAAAGATTATTTGATTTTATTAGGAAAGAAGTGCATACTTGAAGAAGGAAAAAGGGAAACACTCCAGTATTGCAAATGTGGAAATTATGACCCGCCAAAGAATTTCTGCAGTTATTTGGCAACCCCCTGCTTGTCTAGACAATCCGTTTTTTTCAAAAAGTCCGAAAAACAACTGAGCAATACCATTTAAGATCAACCCACTAAGGTGTGTGTCATGTCTTGGAGAGTGAGGTAATGTACTTCCTTCCCTCAGATAAATGCTTTGGACACGATTGAAGCAACACCTTTGTTAACACTTTAATTCTTTCTTGGCAAATTTGCTGGATTTTGAGGAGTGATGCATTTCATGCCATCTTCTCGTTTCTGAAGCACTCGCTTACTTTCAGTCAAAAAATGGACTTGATTTATTTCTTAGTCAGAAAGCAAAGCAAAAACAAAACCCCGATGTCCTTTCCTGAGTCAATCAAACAATAATTTCAGTATGAATGGAAATATTTAGAGAGTAGGCAGTATGGAATCCCAGCATGATCAAAGACACGAAATGAAAGAATATCTGGACTACAGAGAAGCAGATCTAACAGGAGATCTTGGACTGCCTTCCCTGGAACTTTCTTTTTTAAAATTAAATGTGGAAACTAGGCACGTTTGCTTCAGTTCTTCATACAGAGCAGAGTTTAATGAGAGTTTAAGATTATGGCTTGTTCTGAATGTGATAACTATGGTTTCCTAGTTTGGTAAAAGAAGAAAATACAACAACAATGATTTATATGTGTGCTAGAAGCAAAAAGTGGAGAAATAGAATAGAATAGAATAGAATAGAATAGAATAGAATAGAATAGAATAGGAAGGGACCTTGGAGGTCTTCTAGTCCAACCCCTGCTCAAGCAGGAGACCTTATGCCACTTCGGACAAGTGACTGTCCAGTCTCTTCTTGAAAGCCTCAAGTGATGAAGCACCCACATAACTTCTGGTGGGAAGCTGTTCCACTGGTTAATGGTCCTCACTGTTAGGAAATTCCTCCTTACTCCTAGGTTGCTTCTCTCCTTGATTAGTTTCCATCCCTTGTTTCTTGTCTTGCCTTCTGGTGCTTTGGGAAATAAGTTGAACCCCTCTTATTTGTGGCAGCTCCTCAAATATTGGAATACAGCTATCACATCACCCCTAGCTCTTCATTTCTCTAGACTAGCCACATTTGCTTTTAATGCAAGAATGAAGAGTCTCATTCTTGTATCAGTGGGTTAAGCTGAGGTTTCATTCTGAAATCTGCTATGTTTTTTCACCTCTAATGAATGTCTGGCTGTTTTAGAAGTGGTAGGAGAAGGGTATGTGGTTAATTTGTACCATATGTATTCCATTGCATGGGAAATTATGTGTAGGAAACCAACCCAAACTTTAGTTGCCTCAGACATGGTAGTTTGTTGACTATCTTTTATGATGTAGCCTGTTGTAGAAACCAACAATTTCTGGCTTACTAAAATCACAATGGTGTAGCACAATGTGTGAACTTAATCACCGTGTGAAATCGCCTGGATTAACAAATGAGCCAATGTACCAGTCGTGGTTTTGGCAACAAACACCTCTTGAAGTTAATTTAGTTTTGGACAGATTTCAGAGTTTGGAGAATGTGATTCTTTTCTCCTAAAACAAAAATACAGTTTCACGTAAGTATTTGTAAAAAAAAAAAAAAAAAAGCGGTCCTTTCCCCCTCTCCCTCCTCCAGTCTATTGTACGATCATTCAGGGATTTAGAAAAAAAAAGTTGAAGTCAAATAAAAAGGAAAGCAAGGAATTAAATCGGTGCCTCTTCCAAGCTGCCTTCGAAATCCAGATCGTCTGGAAGGGCAGGTTCAAAACAGAGAGCTTCGCGTTCCTGAAGGCGGTTTCAAAAGGAACCAAGCCATGGGTCAGAGAGAAAAGAGACAAAACCTAACCATGACAATTCTAAAATCTGCCATTCCTGGAACTGCAAGCTAATCTGGGAATATACAGTAGGAAACCCTGGATTTATAGCAGACTAGTTAAGTGCTGGCAAATTAACTAGTTGGTAGGAGTTTTTTTTAACTCCGTTGGCTGGTGGGGTCTCCCAAATTTGAACATGGACTTTCGATTCGAGGATGGGCAACATTGACAGGCAGTGGAACAACTGGAACTGAACCCAGGTGGCACAGTTGTTAGAAGGCAGCATTGCAGGCAAACTCTGCCGGCTGCCAGCAATTCGATTCTCACTGCTTCAAGGTTGATTCAGCTTTCCATCCAAAACAAGGAGCGTTCTTCTTAAAACGAGCTAGCTACTAATCCGCGTGTAACTATTACCCTCCTACATAGTTGTATTTTAGTTCATAAATGGTAGTGTAACAGCAGGTTGTGCTGAAGGGGTCTACACCAGGGGGTTTCAAACTCGATTTCATTGAGGGCCGCATCAGGGTTGGGTTTGACCTCAGGGACCGGATGGGTGTGGCCAGGGTGGGTGTGGCAGCTCAACATCACTTGAGTTGGGGGCACCCCTCCCAGGCTCCGTTTTTGGCTATGATGGTTTCTTGCAGCACTCTGCCAGCAAAAACAGATGTCAGACGAAAAGATACTCCTTTGGTCTTTTTAGTTGCCAGAAAAAGGGAGTGGGGGAAAAACAAGGTATTCCTTAAATGCCTAGATAATTACATCGGTAGCCCAAAGTTGTCGGAGCATAAGAAGGTTATTGGAGAGCATGATGGATGACTCTTGGAGACGGATGTGCCCCATTGGAGAAGTCACATCCAGAGGGTGGGGGAAAGATCAGGGTCAAGAGGGAAATGTATGATGTGATTTAGTATCAGCTGCACCCATCCACGCACCAACATGGCAATTTCTAATAAACCAATTTACTTTTTCTGAGATGCTTTTTTGCTTTGAATGAGGGGGATTTGTTGGAGCCCTGATAGCCAGCTCGGGAGGGCTGCATATGGCCAGATTTTAGCACCCCATGGCTTGGATTCAGCCTGCAGCATTGGTGGGATTCAATTATTTTTTTACTCCCAGTTCTGTGAGCGTGGCTTGGTGGGTGTGGCAGGGGAAAATTACTGCAAAATCCCATTCCCTTCCCCTGCCACTAACCTGCTTTCCAGCTCCGTTCTCCTGTGCAGGGCAACCAAAAAAGACCCAGCTCATCAGCTGGGACTCAATGGGAGGCAGAGAATGGATGGGGTTTGCGAGGCCAGTCAGAGGTGGGATTTGCTGGTTCTCCGAACTACTCAAAATTTCCACTACTGGTTCTCCAGAACGGGTCAGAACCTGCTGAATAACACCTCTGACCCATGGGCCTTGAGTTTGACACCCCTGGTCTACACTTTCACTCTCTCTGTCGTTTGCTTTTATTTACAGTATTTCGGTCTTCACTTTTGTTTGGAATTTTTTTACTGTAGACTACTGATGGGCCTTGGTGGTTGGTGTGATGAGTTTAACAAATGAGTGGGCATGAGTTTAAAAAATATGAATGAAGCATTTGTGGAAAATTGGTCAAAAAGGCAATTGAAGAAGAGACCTTCTCTGGGAAAGAAAAAGAAAAAACGCCTTGGGGGGGAATTGATGGGGGAGGCCAAATAAGATAAAGTTTTCCTATTGCAAACTTGGAACAAGAAAGGATTCTTTGTTTAGCTGCATTCAATTATTATTATTACTGATGGTGCAGCTTGCTTTTAGCCGAGCATTCGGTGCAGATGGGCCATTATGGCTTGTTCAGTTAAGATGTGGTTAGGAAGAATCTTGTGAGCATCGCCTGCTGCCCAAGCAGCAGATTGTAACTGTATGGCTTTCTTTCATTTACTCAGCTTGTGGCGAACGCTTTCATTTTCCTTTGTGGCAATTTGCTGGGGGCGTATCACAAGCATCAGATGCAGGATGCCTCCTGGGATCTGTATCGCTATACCTTAAAATGCATCCAAGTCCAAATGAAGTTGAAAATTGAAAAAAGGCAGCAAGTAAGTGTGACATTAAACGATAAAATAAAACATGCTTTCCCGCCTCCTGGTTAATTGTTAAGGTGCAGTTATTGACATGCAGATAATTATTTAGTGCAGCAGATATCTCATTCCAGGTTCTCTCGGTGCTCTCTGAGTTTGGTTGTTTCCTTGCACATGTTTCATTAGCCAAACCAGGTAACATCATCAGTAATAATTCCCAGTCCCCTCTAGCACTGATATTACCTAGTTGGGTAATACAACATCCACAAGAAAATAACAAAGAAAGATCCAAGACCTCACAGTCCTTTGCCTCCTCCTCCTCCTCCTCCTCCTCTTCCTCTTCCTCTCCACAAACCACAATTAAAAAGAAAGATCCAAGAAAGATCCAAAGAAAGATCCAAGACCTCACAGTCCTTTTCCTCCTCCTCCTCCTCCTCTTCCTCTTCCTCTCCACAAACCACAATTACCTTCTAACACTTATGATGTTACCTAGTTGGATAATACAACATACGCAAGAAAATAACAAAGCTCAGAGAGATCCAAGACCTCACAGTCCTCCTCCTCCTCCTCCTCCTCCTCCTCCTCCTCTCTGCAAATCCCCTCCCTTTTAGCACTTACGATGTTACCTAGTAGGGTAAGGAAATATCCGCAAGAAAATAACCAAGCTCAGAGAGCACCAAGGAGCCCACAGTTCAACCCTGAGCTACAAATATTCTCCTTCGTTTCAGGTTCGGAAAGACATATTGCAGCCTTTGTGGCAGCCATTAAAATGAAAGCTCAGAAATATTTGTGAATATTATTATTCTAGAATAATTCCTGAATAGCCCAGAAACCTCTCTGGAAAACATGATTATAAGCGGAGCATTTGCAAACAAATGTGTGTTTTTGCACAAATTTGCAAGCGTTCAAGTTGAATTTCCAACATATGAGGGAAGCACTCAATAAATGAAGGAACACAGCATGGTCTAATTAATGAGCTTAATGAAGGCTTTCCTCTTATTAATTAGGTTAAGTTATTAGATGTTTTCGGTTGTTCTTGCAACCGTCTTTCCTTCCTCCTCCTTTGATGAGATCACTTCTTGCTTTGAACAATTCAAACCTTCTTCTTTCCTCCAAGGAAAGCTTGCTTCTGTCAATCCTGCCAGCTCATATATCCATGGGAATGAAACTTGCCATCATTGAGCGTCTAAAAGAAACCAACGATATGAAAAAGCATGATAATAATTTCCACAGCCTGTATGTGAAGCGGCACCAGAACGTGAGGTAAATTTTTGGATTTCCAAGACCCGCATTTCTCTCGGGGATCAGTACTTTAAAGAGGCCATCAAGTTCTGGAGATTTTCTTGAAGGATCACAGCTTCCTCAAGCAGGATTCAGCACAGAGCAATCCCAGACCATAATATTTTTTTTCCCCTCTGCTTTCTTTAGCATCCTGTATGCAGATATCGTAGGGTTCACTCGCTTGGCAAGTGACTGTTCTCCCAAAGAGCTGGTGGTGATGCTGAATGAACTCTTTGGAAAATTTGACCAAATTGCAAAGGTGAGTCAATTCTGGGAATTGAAATCCCCACATCTTCAAGTTGTCGAGGTTGAGAAAACAACTGGCCTATTATTTCTTTTTTATTGTATTACAACAAGATTGTATATGCTTGTGATGGCGAACTTATGGCATGCGTGCCACAAGTGGCATGCAGAACCATTTGTGCCAGCACGCGAGCCACAGGCAAACTTACCTCACTGCACATGCGCACGCTTCACAGCTGTTTTTTTTTCCCGATTAGTTTGAGGCCCTTTTCATCCTCCCGGAGGCTTGGAAAAAGCCTTTTTCGGTCTCCCAGAGGCTTTGAAAAAGCCTCTGCAAGGCTTTTCAGGATGAATCATTGGCCCATTTCGTCACTTCCTGTAATACCAAAAAAGGCCTCAAACCAACCGAAAAAAAATCAGCTGTGAGGCGCAGTGCAGGTAAAGGGACGGGGTAGGGATTACCCATGCATGCGTAGGGGTCGTGTGAAGGGGGGGCACATTGCATTCTGGGTCCTTGCACACAACTGCAGTCGTACTGGAGCACACACAATTTTTGGCACAGGAGCCCCAAAAAGTAAGCCACCACTGGTAGATGGTTTAAGAAGCTATCTTTTTTAAAAAATCATAGTTTGGCAGTACAGGTTTCCCTCCACTTATGACCACAAAAGAGACCCAAATTTATGTTGCTAAGCGAGACATTTGTGAAGTGATGTTTTTATGATCTTTCTTGCCATGTTTATTATGTGAATCGCTGCAGTTAAGTTAGGAACATGGCTTTAAGCAAATCTGGCTTCCTTGTTGACTTTGCTGGCCAGAAGTTCGCAAAAGAGAATCATCCAACCCAGTGGTGGGATTTAATTTTTTTTTACTATCTGTTCTCCAGAACTGGTCAGAACCTGCTGAACACCACCTCTTATACGACTCTGGGACATTGCGACTGTCATAAATATGAACCAGTTGCCAAGTGCCCAAATTTTAATCACGTGATCGCAGGGATGCTGCAACGGTTGTAAATGTGAAAAACAATCATGGGTGACTTTTTTTCAGCGCCGTTGTAACTTTGAACAATCATTAAATGAACTGTTGTAAATTGGGAACTACCTGTATCACAGTCATCGGCTGCACCTGGATAATTTTTAGTTTGCATGGGGCAGCCGGCAAGATTTTCTACTGCTGTTGTAACTTCTAAATGAATGGTTCAGAGGTGGTATTCAGCTGGTTCTGACCAGTTCTGGAGAACCAGTAGCGGAAACGTTGAGTAGTTCGGAGAACTGGCAAATACCATCTCTGACTGGCCCCGCCAACCCCATCTATTCTCTGCCTCCTGAGTCCCAGTGATCGGCTGGGTCTTCTTTGGTTGCTCTTCACGGGAGAACGGAGCTGGAAAGCAGGTTAGCAGGGTGGGGAGGGAATGGGGATCTTGCAGTATCCTTCTCCTGCCATGCCCACCAAGCCACATCCATAAAACTAGTAGTAAAAAAAAAAAATTGAATCTCACCACTGGAATGGTTATAAATCAAGAACTGTCTTGCATTCTCCATGCTTGAACCCAAGCTAAATTGCAAATAACTCCCCCTGCCCCTCCCCCATTATATTACAGAAAACTCTTACTTCAGATGAGGACAGCTGTTTTCTCTGTTTTCTCCCCGCAAAAAAGCCTATAATTTGCACCGCTTAAGTCAAATGCTGGTTAATTCATATTTGCCAAGCTTGGTGATTCATGGGTTATTATTATTTTATTTTTTTGCAGGAAAATGAATGCATGAGGATAAAAATTTTGGGAGACTGTTATTACTGTGTCTCGGGCTTACCTGTGTCCTTGCCGGTACATGCCAAAAATTGTGTGAAAATGGGCCTCGACATGTGTGAAGCGATAAAGTATGTACTTTTAAAAAAATTAGTAAGTTAGGAGTGGTGATGCAGGAATAGATAATGTAGCAGTATGATAGATAATAATAGGGCCTCGTAATCCTCTGAAAGGAGAACTTTTCTTCCTCCTGTGATTGTACCAGTGCAGTTTTTATATTTATTCTGTTAAATATACACATGTACAAAGAAAGAATTGTGCAGTTAGTTTACACTGATTTAAACTTCCGTGGATTAGAACAGGGGTCTCCATCCTTGCAACTTTAAACTTGTGGACTTCAACTCCCAGAATTCCTCAGTCAGCACTCCTGTTCTTATCCATGGTGGCTGAGGCAATCTGGGAATCGAAGTCCACAAATCTTAACATTGCCAAGGTTGGATATCCCTGGATTAGAGCATACATGGGTCTTATTTTCAATGTGCTGCTAGATCCAGTAGATTCATTTTTTGCTCCAGGAAGTGGGCATAGCCAGCTCCCTGGAATCTGCATAGTGCTTTAATTGCATTTCCATGGAATGTGTTCAACTCTGCTACAATCCCAAGCCATCGGCAAGGTGGGTGGGGAACCTGGCTTAATTGTCACCAATAGTAGTTGTCGAACCATCCCTCTTCAGAGTTCCAATGCAGACTCATTCAACTGACTGCTCTAGTCAAACAGAATTCCTTCAGGCTCTTTGGGTCTAGTGGTGTGAGGAAGTGACCTTGGGAGACGGAGTAGAGATGCTGCCTAGGGAACCACCAGATAAGGGAGGGTAGGGCCTGCAGCTGAATAACAGGCAGAGAAAGAGACTCAGAAGAAGAAAAAACTTCCTTCACTTCCCCAAAATCAGTATGATGCTTAAGTCTAGAGATGGGAAAATCAAATGGTTTTTCATCTTGTGTCCTACACCGGAGTCCTTATAATTTTTTTTTATTGTTATTTTTGCAGGCAAGTTAGGGAAGCCACAGGGGTTGACATCAGCATGCGAGTTGGCATTCATTCCGGGAACGTCCTTTGTGGGGTGATCGGACTTCGGAAATGGCAGTATGATGTCTGGTCTCACGATGTCTCCTTGGCCAACCGCATGGAATCAGCGGGCATCCCTGGGTAAGCACGTGAAATAATTCCAGTGAGCGTCGTGGTGATGGCAGAGAAGTGGAAATGCAGAGCAGTTTCCTAGCTGAGGTTCCTTTTGTTGGGTTTAGTCCAAGGATGCAGAATGTTTGGGGTAATAATCTGATCTTTCAGTTGGCCGCAAGATTTTGCAGTGATTTTGCAGAGCAAGAGTCAAGATGAAACATTCTGGGTTCTTGGTGAAGCAAAGCACCCTTAATTCTTTCCTTTAGTGCAAGGGTCTTCAAACTTGGCAAATTTAAGACTTGTGGACCTCAACTCCCAGAATTCCTGAGCTAACGTGACTGGAGGAGGAATTCCGGGAGTTGGAAGTCCACAAGTCTTAAAGCTGACAAGCTTGAAGACCCCTGATCTAGTGCAAAAAGAGCCTAAATTTTGTCGTCAATCTTCAGTGCCGAATTTCAGAACGGAATGCTTGGTCATTTCCCCCCTGGTTTCGGTGTGTCAGAATGAAACCAGGAGGCCTCGAGGAAGTAAGCTGCTTTTATTCAATTTCTTTTAAATGAAAAGTATGCAGAAAGAGCGAGACCTCTCATTTTGAACAGTGCAGTCTTGATGCGTTGGGGGGCTCTAACAGACCATAGATTCTTCACTCTGGAAAGTCTGTTGGGTCAATCCCAATTCTTTGATGTGATTTCTAAACCAGGTTTTAATGTATGAGTATATGTCGGAGGATGCACAACTTGGTAAACAATTTAAAAAGAGCTAAGTTCAACTTACTTACTCACTGTTTTGACCCAGGGCATGGCAACAAAGCAACAAAGTCACAAAAGTAGATAAAGTCCCTTTAATTCCTCCAACTTGGCCCCCAAGGTCCAGTTATTATCAGCTGGAGAAAAATCTCTCCCAAGAACAGTGTTTTAAAGGGAAGAAATTCAGTCCAAACCCAAAGTACATCTAAATTATAAATAAAAACCAACACAAACCACGCTGCAGCAATTAACAAGATAGGGCATGATAAAGAATTGCAGACTTCGGAAAGATAACAAAACACAAACAGTTGGGAGGATGCCAGAACCCAGATAAGACTTGACAAATCAAAATAATTCACGCTTTGCTTCCAGCAAGGTACTGTGTGCAAACACCCTTTATATCGTGTTTTCCCAGCTGCAGCTAATGAAGGGAATCGTGGCCTTTTTCTCCCCCGTAACCCACATTGCTCCCTTATCTGTTCCTCCCTGCGTGCCCTAGGATGAAGAGGGGGTGGGCCGGGTCTTCCTCTAAATGCCCAGCTGTACTGTGACCTTCTCCAGCTTCCTCCACAGCCACTGGAGCCACACTCCCACTCCCTGTCAGCTGTTCGACCTCCCCCTCAGAATCAGATTCCAACAGGGGCATGACACTCCCTCCCTCCGTATCTCCCTCCCTCTCTGTCCTTGCTAGTTTGCTCCCTCCCTCCCTCCCTCCCTCTTCTGTTTAGTGAATTCTCAGCTTAGGTCGCCATTCACCACCTAATAAAAATCACAATTGTCTCCAGAATGTACTCAGAGTACACAAGCTAATCTAGATTCTGGATAGCAAGATATGCGCCTTTACTATGGAGGGCGTGGAAAGCTGCAAAAGGATATCTTGTAACTGATGGAACCGCTTTGTAAATATTTTCCTGAGTCTGCAGAATCATTTCCAGCCTTGTTAACAGTATTTTAGCCTCTCAAAGAGGCAACAAGGGAGTTTATTTTTAGTCACTTTTATGGCACCAGATGGATTGATTGTTCTTTACGGTACATGAGCTTACCTGTTTGCTGGATACTCCTGGAAGTGCAACATCATCTTCTTTGTGTACCTGGACACCTGCTTTGTACACTGCTGTGTGTGGGCTAATCAGAAAGAAATGCACTTTAGCTTTAGAACATAACAGCGGAATAAAGTATTTCACTCCAAGTCAAACACACACACACACACACACATGCATTGGCACTCTGTTTCCACCATTACCTCAATGGAGATTGAGATCTGTTGTTAGTCTTCATTGGTTCCTCTCAGGTTAACAGTATATCGGGCAGTCGTTGTTTTATAGAAGGGCACAAACAATCCCATAATGGCATTTGCTGTTTTCTTTTTGTGACATTGGAAAGTGCTTTGTTGCGTGTACGTGCGTGTGCGTGTGTGTTACTAAGTAAGCTGTACGTTGTGATGCTTCCTGAGGACCTTCAATGCAAGCCAGCTGAGTAAACTCTTGGAGAATAGCATCGAGTGTGATATACCCAGACGTTATTTAAGCAGGATGAGAGAAAAGTACTTTCAGTCTAAAACTGAATTAAAATTGAATGAAGCCTTCTTCCAGTTGAAAACACAATGGGCCATTTGCTATCCACATCTTGAAGGTACCTCTGCGCTAAGCACGTAGTAATACTTACTTTGATTGGCACTACACCCATCTCCTTCCTTGAAAAGGTCGGTACTCATCAGAGCAATATTGCCAAGTGTTTTATAGACAAACGTAATGGTGGGGAAAGCAAGAAGAGTGCTTTTAACAGGTCTGAAATCCAGACTGTATTGTATTGGGGAGTTGAGGAAGAAAAGCAGACCAAACTGATATTCAAAAATAAACGAGAAGAGCAGGCGGAGTTAGAAGGCGGAGTTAAGCATGTCATCAGTTTGGAGTCGTTGTGTTGCCGTGAGAGAAGCCAAGTCCAGCCCAGCCATGAATTCCGTTGACCTTTATCTAGCACAAATTTAACGCCAAGCATTAGTTGACTAGATTCTTGTGTATGGGTAAGCAACAATAAACTTTTCGGTACTTTGACTCCAATGAATGCGCCTGGTTATTTGCACCTGACACCGATTCTGCCTAGAGACAATGTGAGATGGTGGCTTTTGGCAATAGGTGCTGAGGATGGCAAGGAGAAGCGGTGAGATGCTGGAGGATGTTGGATGTGTGTTTGTGTGTGTCCATCTATATATCCTCTTAGCCCCAGATGTTTAGGAAGAATTTAGTTGTTGTTTGGCAGAACTGCTGCGATGGATCCTTCTACCCATCAACCATGCCGTGGAGACTGCTATTTTATTTATTTAATAGTCTGGTGATTTAAACATGTTGAAGGAACTTCCCCGAAATACAAACCAGCCTGATCTATTTTTCAGATAAAAGACTTATGTGTCCTGCTTTCTAACTACTGTATTTTATCTAATCCTTGGTGCTGGTAGTTGTAGCCTTTTTATGTGTATTCTCATCTCCCACGAGGGAACTCATTTTGTACTGTATAGTCTTTTCTTCCCTGCTTCTAATTTCACTTTCCCAAGAAGAATACATGAAGAAATAGTGGCTGTCACGAGGCCTTCGAGGGTGAGCCAGAATTCTGACACACGCCTCAGACCTTGTTCCATTGTTCTTCAGTGCCTTCCTTTGTGTTCTCTTCCCATTTCTCTTCTCTTTCTGGGTTTGCACGAGACGCTTGTTAAATAAACCAGAATTGCGCACAGTCAGAGAACGAAGCGGATCCAAATTAATAAAGCACATTATGGTTTGTGATGTGTGAACCAAGCTCCTAGTAAAGGAGAATATTTGTAGCTCAGGAGTTGAAATAAGATAGGTAGATGTAAATGTAAAGGATTGACGATGATATCTAGTTTGGGTAATGAAATGTCTGCAAGAAAACAATCAGGTTCAGAGAGTATCAAAGTTTCCCTGAACCAAATTATGTTGAGATTTAATTTACAAGAAGATTATCTTTGGGATCTCCTTCTCCCTCCCTCCATCTCCATCCCTCTCTTCCTCCCTTCCCTCTCTCTCCCTCCCTCCTTCTCTGTCTCCCTCCCTCACCCTCTCCTTCTTCCCTCCCTCCCTTCTTCCCTCCCTCCCTCCTTCCCTCTGTCCTCTCCCTCTCTGTCTTTCTCTTTCTCTTTCTCTGAAAACAGTCACAAACACTGCACAAAGTTCTGAGAATTGGCACGACTGGATGGTTCTATCATGCGATCCAGATGAGCTGTTCAAGAGGAATCTTGATTTTGGCTGCCAAATGTGTAGCAGCAGAATGTTATTGGCAGCAGCCATTGTAACGGTAATCGATTCCCAGGAATGACGTTTCACCCCTTTGTACACTTCTCTCTCTCTTCTCCTCCTCCTCCCCTGGGTCCTCTTTGCAGCCGCGTGCACATCACAGAAGCGACTCTAAATCATCTTGGCAAAGCTTATGAGGTGGAAGAAGGCGACGGGCACCTCCGGGATCCTTACCTTGAAGCCATGAATATCAAGACTTATTTGGTGATTGACCCCAGGGTAGGTATTCTTTGATGCAAAACAAACGAGCCACTTCTGTCTCTCTCATTTTGCATGCTGAATCATGGCTTAACATGATGTATGGGGTAGTCTACAATTGGTTGAGTTTGCACACCCGGAAAACTAAAAACAGGCGAACCAGTACAATGGTGTACCATCAATATTAGCAACTCTTAAGATGTGTGGACTTCAGCTCCCAGAATTCCTCAAGGGAATTCAACAAGGGAGCCAAAGTCCACACATCTTAGAGTTGCCAAGATTGTTGAAACACTGGTGTATAGGTCTAGAGTCTCCTCCTCCTTCCGGGGACCATTTTGATTGACAGGGTCAGGAATGTTGTTGTGTGAACTGAGCCAGCTACGAATTGCTCAGGAAAAACCCTGGTGACGCAGATAAACCTCCAGGTGGCCTCAATGACTTTCTAAAAGGATGCAAATGACCAGCTGTCTTCCATTCTCCACCGTCCAGCCAGAGCTGAAGTAGTTTCTTGGATCAGAAGCGAAACCAGAAAGAAAAATCAGAAAGTTTCTTGAAATATAGCACCTTTGGGACAACCATGGCCTGGATGACTGAGAATTCTCCGTAGATGCTCAGGAAAAAAGGATCTCAAGTATTTAAAGAGAATAGAAAGTATTTGGACTTGAAGAACTCTGTTATTATTCTATATTCTATATTCTAAGAAGACCATCTGCAGTTATGCCGTATTGATCAATGATTACAATAAAGAAATGAACAGACCAGTGAGAGTTACAGAATTATGTTACAGAAGGGACCTTGGAGATCTTCTAGTCCAATCCCCTGCCCAAGCAGGAGACCCTATACCAGTGATGGTGAACCTATGGTACATGTGCCACAGGTGGCATGCAGAGCCCTTTGTGCCGGCACGCAAGCTGCAGGCAAACTTACCTCATTGCACATGTGTGTGCCTCACAGCTGATTTTCGGTGGGTTTGAGACCTTTTTCGGCCTCCCAGAGACTTGCAGGCCAAAAACTAGCCCCCTTTCATCACTTCTTGTTTTTCCAAAAATACTGGAAGTGACCAAACAGGGCTAATTTTCGGCCTGCAGAAGCCTTCCTCAAGCCTTTGGGAGGCTGGAAAAGGCCTCAAACCCACTGAAAATCAGCTGTAAGGCACAGTGCAGATAAGGGGGCAGCGGCAGATGGGTGGGTGGGTGGGTGGGGATTGTGCGTGCATGTGTAGAGGGTGTGGGGGGGGCAACGCGCATTGCCTTCTGGGTACTGGCAGATGAGCGCGAGTGTGTAAGTGTGTGCACAGTTTTTGGCACAGGAGCCACCACTGCCCTATACCGTTTCGGACAATGGCTTTTTAAAAACCTCCAGTGTTGCAGCACACACAAGTTCTGGAGCAAGTCAAAGTTGATGGTTGCAGACCAGGGATGAAAAAGACAAGGCTGCATCTCATTTTAGGTTTTATTAAAAATCCTAAACCTCTCCTCCTCCTCCTCCTCCTCCTCTTTTTCTTCTCCTCCTCCTCCTCTTCCTCCTCCTCCTCCTCCTCTTTTTCTTCTCCTCCTCCTCCTCCTTCTTTTCCTCCTCCTCCTCCTTCTCCTCTCCTTCTCCTTCTCCTTCTCCTTCTCCTTCTTCTTTTAAACTCAGCCACATCTGAGTCTCTGTAGCATATCCATGCAAAATATAAAGTTGATTTTTAAAAAAATAAGCAACAGAAGTAGGCAGAGAGGAGTTAAATGATTCTAATCTAAAAATACCGCTGAGTTCCGTTGTCTAAATATATATGTATATTCTTCAGCTGACACCAAGTTCGCCTTTGATCAGGTGGCCCACGATTTTATTTTGCAAACTCACATCTTCCTCCTGCTTGCTTCCTCCTTTTTTTCTTTTTTTTTTTTTTGTTTTAGATCTTTATTATGTGTTGTGGTTGTACCAGGTTTGGAACAGAAACGGGAAATAATGAGAGTCAGGTGTGGTGTCCAAAGCCGAACAAAACTGAAGCCAGCAACCTGGAAGGCTTTTTTAAAAAAAATTTGGTTGCGTGCAGTTTGGAAAAGGAGGGGGAAGAACGTATTAAACATTCAGTTGCCATGACCCACCGATCCTGGGAAACAATGGCTTTTAAATTTCGATCTCCAAGGAGCCCTTCAGGAATCCAGAATGGCTGTTCTTTAAATGTGTGTAATTAAACCGAATCGGCTCTCTCCGACTCCCACGCTTGCTTTAAGTGCAGTGCAGTTCTACCAGCATTTTGAGAAGAACTGATTTGAAAAAAGAAAAAAAGAAAAGAAAAGCCGTTACACAATGAATACTCCTAGTTTGCTTTGCTCAGCTTATAAAAAAAAGGTTCGGGGTGGTTGTTGTTTTGACCCTTCTGTTTTTTTCAATAATTCCTACAGCTCTGACAGGATTCCAAGACCCTGGCAACCTGTTCGCCTTCGATATCCTCATTAATAAAGGATATTAGCGCTACTTTGCAGAACCTAGCGGGCCACAGGCCGTCACAGGTCCAGATTAATAACCCTCCGAAGACTACATTCTTGTAGAACGGTGCTTCCCAACCCGGGATAAATTACCCAAATTGGATAAAAAGAGCTTTTTTTTCTTTTGGTAACGACCACATGAATCCATTACCAATCACAATTTGTGGAGGTTAATGCTTTGCTATTAACCGGTTTCTGTTTTGTTTTGTTTTTAAAAAAAGCTCCTTTAATCCTGTTTACCCATAGTAGGACTCAAAAGTGCTCCAGGTCAGAATTCAAAACAGCAACTAGGCCTATAGGATGCAAGATCCAATAGAAGAGAATATCTACAGCTCAGAGTTGAACTCTGGAGCCCTAGGTGACTTTTGAGTTTGGTTGTTGGCTGGCAGACGTTTCCTTATCCAAGTAGGTAACATCATCAGTGCCAGAGCTCAAATGTATTTTCAACTGGGAAACCGACAGGGGTGGGATTCTACCAGTTCAGCCTGGTTCTATAGAACCAGTAGCTCTGAAGAACAGCAGACACAGAACCAGTTCGCGGAGACAATCTTTTGCTCGTTGTTTGGCCCACCCACCCACCCGGGCTCTTGGCTGTCCTTTATTTCTGCTTTTTCAACCTCAACTGCTTAGTGCCACTCAGCTGAGGTTGAAAATGCAAGAAAGAAGAGGATTATCAAATGCTGCGCACCTGCACGCAGTGCTTGTCAGTTGTCCGGGAGGCATTTTGCAAACGCATTACATGCACACGCAGCAAAATGCACTCTCACTGAACCGGTAGTAACACCAGTTGAATCCCACCCCTGGAGACTGATCATCTGAGACCCAGCGAAATCCAAAAAGCGGTAGGGAATTCCTAGAAGATTAGCATTCAGATAAATCAGCCATCAACAGACACAGAGATAAACCATATTTATACACTATTCAAAAGAGGTAATTTTAAAAAGCCAAGAAGGAAACCAAAAGATTTAGAACACATCTTCTCCAGCAACTAACACCCAGATAAGCAAGGTTTAATCCCAGACAAACAATCTAGCAGAAAACAATACTTAACCAAGGAACTACAGAGGAGAAAACCACATCCCCGCCAATACTGACAGGGCAATCTATAGTATATAAACAAAGAATAAAGCCCACAGTCACCAATACTGATCACGTAACCAAGTTGGGTCTTGAAATGTCTGCAAGCAAACAACCAAGCTCAGAGAGTACTAAGGACTCCCTAAAATAAAATAAATAATGTGGCCAATGTAATCATTAAATTATATTCTGTCTGTGTCTGTCTGTCTCTCTCTCTCATTAGTCAAAACAGCGTGCCACCAACAACCATTTTCCTCAATCCAGAGTGCAGGATGGCTTGAAGATGAGGGCCTCTGTCCGGATGTCACGATACTTGGAATCATGGGGAGCAGCACGTCCTTTTTCCCACCTGAACCACCGAGAGAGTGTGAGCAGCGACACTTCTGCGCCCAACCGCAGACGCAGGAAGGTGAATCATCGCTGGGCGTTTTTCAAAATTGTCTTCCAGGCACAAGTCCTTGGTTGAGATATGGAGGCATGCATGAGGTTTCTCATAGACAGGAAAAGGTCTGTACAGAAACACATTCCTTTTTCATGCCTGTGATGTCAGGTGTGAAAGAACAAATACACGTGTGAAGGTCCAAATGATTGCTACTCATTGCTACTCATGTCCACGCACAGGAGACTTCCCAACTAAAGTTAGCAGCCGCTTGGAATTTGATAAGGGTCAACCGCATTCAAAGGTGGTTGGATTTAATTTGCTTGTGGCTATGTAGGGAGACTAGGCTGATCCATCCCCAGGTTTCTGCCACTCCTCCTACAGTGGTCGTGTTTCCCATTTAAAATGGAGATAAGATAGGATATATGTTAAATACATAATTTTGTAGCAGAAAGAGTGGAGAAGATTGACGAGGGAGAACATCTATTTAGCGGTTTCGTAGAGCTCTCGGGCTTTTCACTTGTTCATCTCTTATTTCTGAAGGGGACATTATAGCAACTCCCAAACATTTGTGATGTTTTTTTTATCTTCCCGGAGAACTGAGCCTAGATATCCCCTTTATTTATAGATGCCTATAATATTTTTAGATTACAAAATCTACATGCATTGTTTACTTCTTTAACAAATAAAATCTTCTTCGTGCTTTCTTCTTGCTTAGGAGATAGCCCTGCAACTCGCAAGTCGTCAGAGGACTTCGGAGAGGCAAGTAACATATTCCTTCCTGGTTAAGACTTTGCTTCAGTACCTTTTCTTCATCCTCCAGCCTTCAAAATGCTTTATAACGAAGGAGAAAGATCAGCATGCACAACAGAATGAAAGGAGAGTCTATATAAACTCCAAACTCTCTTTTTAGAGTTTCCTAAAGAAATGGAGGCTGTTACGGAAATAGTATTTACTGTTTTCCCTACCACAAACTATGACTCAAACAGACGCTGTTTTTCAATCATTTATTACACTTTTCTTCTCCAATCTGGTGACATGTTGTGACCAGGACTTTCGAAATTCCCGGGAAAGATGTCCCAAAGGTGCTTTTTCAGGAGGCAACTGGACTTCCTTGTTTTTTCTCTTTGAAGACATTTCGCCTCTCATCCAAGAAGCTTCCTCAGTTCTGACAGGATAGTGAGGAATAGATGGATTTATATTTCTTGCAGACATCTGGTCATTTGCACCCTTTTAGAGGGTCGTTGAGGCCGCTTGGAGAGGTTTATCTGTGTCCTCAGAGTCACCTGAGTAGCACTCCTGGGTTCTTGTAGTCTGCAATTTCCACCCCCTGGAAATCCATTCCTATCCCACACCATTCAAAGGATGTTCATCCCAAATTGTACAGCTAAAAGTCTGTAGAGATTCTCAGTCCTCCAGTCATGGTTGTCTCTACTTTTTCAGGAGGCAACTAGACTTTCTGGTTTTTTTCTTTGAAGTCATTTTGCTTCTCATCCAAGAAGCTTCTTCAGCTCTGACAGGATGCTCTGAAGAAACTTCTTGGATGAGAAGCAAAACATCTTCAAATAAAAAACCAGAAAGTCCAGTTGCCTCTTTAAAAAAACATCTTTGGGACAACCATGACCTGGAGGACTGATAATCTCTACAGACCTCAGAAAGATGTTTTTTAACTGTTGTGAACAGCTAATGGTTGGAAAAGAAATTCTTGACTTGATGAAAAGAGAGCCTTAATTTGCAGTTAGGGCTCGGGAATTCTGTGGTTGGATACGTGCCTCATCTCCTCCAGCACTTAAACTGATTTTTCATCCCGCTTCTGCCCACATATGAGCATCATGACGTGATTGCAAAGAGGAAGTTGAAACATAGAGAAACATAACATCACACATTGTCTCCCTTGTCTTCTCAAATTTTCCTCTGTTCTTCTTTCTTTGCTGTGCCTAAAAGCTGCAGTTCTGCTGTCTCAAACATGCTTTAAAAAAAAGAATCCATAAAAAGAATATTAAAAATATTTTAAAATATGAAAGGTGACATGCACTTCCTCTGATGCCAGATGTAGTGTTTTAACTACTGTGTGTTGCCAAAGTAAAGGAAAAATGAACAGGTAACAAAACCATTTGCATGTTTCCTGGTTATTGCTCTGTGTGCTTTTGAGCAGCAGAAACAAGTTATATTTTTATCATTTCTTACACTTTTCAATTGTCTTTTCCAGATTTTTTAAAGAAGGGATGCAAAACTTATTTTTCAAAACTATTTAAGGTTCCCTTGGGAGGATGCAAGCATCCCAGAAAGGATGGCTGTTGCTGTAATTTCGAGGGAAATGTTTTAATCGATTTGCTAATTATTGGCCTGCATATATGCCTTCCATCAAACTTTTCTTTCTCTTTATGTATGCATCCGTTAGTTTCGATGGATCGAGACAACACCACTTCTGTCTTCCTTCTGTTCTAACCTATAAGTGAGTTTTCTGTCCTCTTTTAACTTTCAGTGATTGTTGTTGTTGTTGTTATTTTCCTGTGTGCAAGAGCACTGCTGATAATTCTCCTGTAACTTCTCATTTCATCTCTCTCTAAATGTCCAACCCTGGTAACTTTAAGACTTGTGGACCGACACAATTGGCTGGGGAATTCTGGGAGTTGAAGTCCACAGATCTATAAGTTGCAAGGTTGGACACCCCTGTTCTAAAACAGTTGGCATCCCTCAAAAAGATAACAGTGGCTGGATTCACATGCAGCAAGCTAAACCATAAACCATGGTTTGCTGAGCTCCCATGTCATGCTGAGCTATCGCCAAACAAGCCGAAGTATGAATTAGGATGTGAATTCAGCCCAAGAACTTCCTTTCTCCAGTGTAAAATCACACAAATCCATTCGATAATTGTTCCAGCCATGTACAAATTTTGGATGACAAAGGAGCATCTTTACTGCCGTTGAATACAGGTGAAAACTCTGTCTCTTCTCAACTCTTAATTTCTCATTCTTGAAATCTTAGCGGCCAAAATTAGATTTTTTTAAAAAATATTCCTGTTCTCCAGTTTGGGAAGTAGTCTTCTAAGATAATGTTGGATGTCCCCATCCCATCCTAGTCATTTCCCTGAGTGCTTGGAAGGAATCCTTTTTCAAAGTGTCATTTTCCCTCTGCTTTGTTTCTTTGTAGAAATACCTCTCAGAAAGGAAGAATGGAGGAAGAAATCAACGATAAGATGATGTCAACCATTGAGGGCCTGAGTTCAGCCAAGTAAGAAAGCAGAAGTGATCCTTTTGTAGATAGGAGAAGAGATTGCTTCTCTGTTTTCAGTAAAAAAAAAAAAAAGAAAGGGTGTGACAGAAATGACATCTCTTTATCTCATATGCTTGCGTGGGCTGGATGTAGCCGGTTCATCTGGTACATCTTCAGTTCCTGCTAAAGGAAACGTTACAACCCCCCACCCTTCTTGATTCATTCTTGGATGGCCCGCAGATTATCCTAAGTTGTTGTAGGTCAGGAGTCTCCAAACTTGGGCAATTTTAAGGCTTGTGGACTTCCCTTCCCAGAATTCCTCAGTCAGCCATGCTGGCTGGAGAATTCTAGGAGTTGAAGTCCAGAAGTCTTAAAGTTACCATGTTTGGAGTCTTCTGTTGTAGGTAGTCCTTGCCTCACAATCCCAATTGGGAGCGGACTTCCCATCGCTAAACAAGGCAGCTTTTAAGTGAGTCACACTCAGTTTTACTACCTTTTCTGCTGCGGTTGTTAAGTGAATCATATGGTCATTAAGTACATCCAGTTTCCCCCCATTGACCCCGCTTGTCAGAAGTCAGCCGGGTGTCATGCCCCTGTCAGAATCTGACTCAGAGGAGGAAGCCGAACAGCTGACAGGGAGTGGGAGTGTGGTTCCGTTGGCTGTGGAAGAAACTGGGGAAGGGCAAAGTCCGGCTGGGCAGAGCAGGGGAGAGGTAGAGCAAGGGAGAGGGAATTTGGAGGAAGACCCAGGCCCACCCCCTCTTCATCCTAGAACAGGCAGGGAGGAACCGAGAAGGGAGCAATGTGGGTTGCATGGCTTACGGAGGGAGGAAAGGGCCTTGATTACCTTCATTAGCTGTTGCTGTGAACACAGTGTTTAAAAAGGGAAGCTGAGCACAGCAAGTTGTTGGGAGCAAATCGTGAATTATCTAGTATCATCAAGGTGTTCCTGGCGTCTTCCCAACTGTCGGTGTTTTGCTCTGCTTTCAAGTCTGCAATTCCTTTTTGTGCGCTGTCAAGTTAATTACCGCAGCATGGTTTTTATGTGGATTTTTATTTACATTTTGCATGTACTTTGTTTTTGGACTGAATTTCCTCCACTTAAAGGTTGTTCCTGGGAGAGTTTTTGTCCAGCCAAAGATAACTTGGCAAAGTTGGAGATAATAAAGGGACTCTTCTTGCTTATTTGACTGTGTTGCCTTTGTGCCACACCCTGGATCATCACAGGTGTTGTAACTTCGGATGGTCACTATGTAAATGTTTGTAAGTCAAGGACTGTGTGTGTTATTTGAGATTCTTCGCTGCAAAACAACCATGATGTGACCCAGTCTAGGTTTAAAGACAGCCTGTTCCTCTTTAATATTGCAGGTCCTTTCTAGAGTTCTAAATTGGCTTCAACTTTTCATCTAAAATTCTCTCCCTACTAGATGCTAATTAGGAGGTCTAGTGTTACAGGCTTTTAAAAGCACTTAAAGCAAAATTAAGTCTTAATTTCACAACAACTACAAATGCAGCAACTACAAAGACGCCATAGAGGCTAGATTGTTCTAAGAAATACATTTTGGTTCGGTAATGCAGGAACCAACGAAAACTTCATTCAGAGCTGCTTAATCATTTAGAATCATATTCTACCTTTTACCTGGTTTTGATTGAAGATCGTAGAACACAAAGTAGAAAGTTTTATATCCTTCTCCCTGTTTTATTGCTCTGGGTTGTGCTTTCCTTTATTTGGGCCAAGTTCTAATACTTCCGTGTCTTTTTTAATAGTCAGGTCTTCTGAGAAACAAACCCTTTCCTTAAAATAATTATAATTTCACACTTGGAGACAGTCTCTGTTTTCTCTTCCTTCGTGCAGACCATGGTGCGGTCAAAAAGACGATTTCCGTGGACTGTGTGGGTTTTTGCTGTGCTTTGTCGAAACAGGACTGGAAAAAGAGGTTTGTAAGACATTGGAGGAATGTTTACCAGGGTGAAATCTTTCAGAACTCAAAAACGGTTGAAACGGTTGAAAAGGAAGCTAACCTTAACAAGTCAAAATGTAATCTTATGGTTTCCTGTTTACTGAATCTTAGGCTGAGACAAAAATCTTCCAGCTTCAAGCAGTGTCCCAGATAAGGGCATTTTCAGATTTATTTTGAATATTGCTTATGGTTTTTTTGAAGGAATCTGATGCCTCTTTAGTTGGTAGGATTATTTAGAGGTAATATCTAAGCCCAGGGTCTTCAAACTTAGCAAATTTAAGACTTGTGGACTTCAACTCCCAGAATTCCTGAGCTAACATGACTGGAGGAGGAATTCTGGGAGTTGAAGTCCACAAATCTTAAAGCTGTCAAGTTTGGAGATCTAAGAAGTTGCCACAAAGAAGACGGGATCAAATTATTCTCCAAAGCACCAGAGGGCAGGACAAGAAGCAATGGGTGGAAACGAATCAAGGAGAGAAGCAACCTGGAATTAAGGAGAAACTCCCTAACAGTGAGGACAATTAATCAGTGGAACAACTTGCCACCTGAAGTTGTGGGTGTTCCAACCCTGGAAATTTTAAAGAAGAGGTTGGACAACATTTGTCTGAAATGGTATAAGGCTTCCTGCCTGGATCAGGGGGTTGGACTAGAAGACCTCCAGGGTTCCTTCCAATTCTGATAATCTGTTAATCCTTGATTTACAACCACAGTGAGGGCCAGAATTTTAATCGTGGGGATTCTGCAATGGTCATAACTATGAGGACCGATCATAAGTCATTTTTTAAGTGCCATTGTAACACCTACTAAACAATTGGTTATACATTGCGGATTACCTGTAATCCTATGTGTATAGAGCAAAGAAGTTATATGCTGGGGCTCATTCTGTTTCTTTATTTATTTTCCCTCCGTGACAAAATCACCCCCAAAATGTTATGAATATATCGAGGCCTTTTCTGTTTCTTTTTTACAGTATCGCACGATTCCTATTCCCAAACTGAGGGGTTATTTTGTGTGTGCTGGCATTGTTCTGCTGTGCATGTTTACAGTACAGATATGCATTACATCAGGGTAAGTCTTGACTTTATTTTTATTATGCCATCAATCCAGTTTGTGTCTTCTTTGAACCCTAACAATTGTCTACGCATCCTATTAAATCAATTAAATTGGCAGTACTTTCTTTCCTGCAGAGATATATTTTAAGAAGTGATTGGAGAGCCGTTTGTCTGAAATATTATAGGGTCTCCTGCTTGAGCTGGGGGTTGGACTAGAAGACCTCCAAGGCCCCTTCCAACTCTGTTATTCTATAAGTCTTATTTTCGCATGTTCAGAGGCTTCTCTACAAAACTATAGAGTTGTTTTTTTCTTCTTCACAGAGCAGAGGAGTAAGGAATAGAGTAACAAGGAAATAAAAAAGCAACCCAGGCTAAGGTTTTCTTCTTCGTGTGCTGGTTTTCCACGTACTTTTATTGTCTTACGTACAAAGCGATTTTTTTTTGTTTCATTAAATTTATATGCTGCCTATCTCACCATTTAGCGATGCTGGGTGACTTTGCAATGACATAAATAACTGTCTAAAATCATTAAAAGGTTAGGAACGTCAAAAGGTTAAAAGTAAAACATTAAAATTAATTACAAAACGGATAAAAGAAAGGGCAGAGGAAATATTTTCTCCTAATCTACTAGCCTCCTTCAACTCAAGGAGAAGGATTTAAAGGAGAAGGAAGAAGAGGAGGAGGAATAGGAGGAGGAGGAGGAGGAGGAAGAAGGAAGGAAGGAAGGAAGGAAGGAAGGAAGGAAGGAAAGAAAGAAGGAAAGAAGGAAGAAAGAAAAGAAGGAAAGAAAGAAAGAAAGAAAGGAAGGAAGGAAAGAAAAGGAAGGAAGGAAGGAAGGAATGAAGGAAGGAAGGAAGGAAGGAAGGAAGGAAAGAAGGAAAGAAAAGAGAATTTCCCACAGATCTGTATCTTCCTCAAAGCTATGATTATATCTACTATTTCCTGCATAGTGAAGAGCCACTTAGGAGGGGAAAAAAAGCACTTGGATTGTGTGATCCTAATTAAGATTGAACATCAAACTCCAAATCTTCAGGCACCAGCTTTGTAATACAAGAGATTCAGTCCTTTGTGGAGAACTTACTATTTCTAAATTCTTTAATCTGCTTTTGCTTGCTCTTTCCTTCCTCGTTCTCTTATTCATCTCAGTTGAAATGTTAATTTATATTGCTAATCCATGTAGGATAAGCCAGGCGCAGAATCAGTCAATCAATCCTCATTCTCTCTTTCAGGTCACAAACCTTAGGAATCTCATTTGGGGTGGTAGCAATCATCATGGGGCTGATTTTGTGTGTCTGCTTTGCGGATGACTGTTGGGTAAGTAAAAAAAAAAGAAAAAAAAAGAAAGGAACCCAAAACTCTAGAGTAGTTTTTGTCAACCGTGGCAACTTTAAGATACATGGGCTTCAACTCCCAGAATTCCCCAGCCAGCATGATAGCTGGGGAATTCTAGACGTTGACGTCTACACAGCTGTGATGACCCAGGGTGGGATACAAAATAAACACAGTCACAAAAAACAGGTGAAGTCCCTTTTATTCCTTCACTTTGCTTCCAAGCTCCAAATATCCTTGACTGGAGACAAAAAACTCCCACACAAACAGTTACAAGAAGAAGGAGAAAGCAACACAAACCAGGCATGATAAGGGCTGGATGACGTTCACAGATAGCAGAACACATACTGGGAAGGACGCCAAACGCAGAAAGGAACCATAAACTAGAGATATTTCCATGCTTTGTTTCCAGCATTCGCCCGTACGCATGTCCGTCCTCTTATCCAGTTGTCACAGCTGCAGCCCATCAAGGCCCTCTCCTCCCCAGTAGACCATGTCTCTCCCTGATCCTCTCCTTCCTGCGTGTCCTAAGATGAAGGGGTGGGCCTGGGTCTTCCTCCGAATGCCCAGCTGGACTTTACCCTTCCCCAGTTTCTTCCACAGCCACCGGAGCTACACTCCCACTCCCTGTCGGCTGTTCCACTTCTCCCTCGGAATCAGTTTCTAACAGGGACATGACACGGTCGTAATTTTCCTCAGAAAATTGCACACACACATGGCAATGTGGTGTATCAAGAAGGTCTATGGTACAGGGGATGAATTTGCCATCTTGAAATCTTTCCTCTCTGTTGGCAGAAATGCTGCGCGAAGCGGTGGGCACCAGCACGCTACTTCTGCCGGGTGTCTGAGAAAGTGGAGACGATGCCGTCCGTCAGGCTCCCCCTGGCCATCCTTGCCCTCGGCTCGCTGCTGATCCTTGCTGTTTTCAACCTGGTAATGCCTCCTGTTGAGTGTTAACAGGGAAGAAAGTAGGCAGTGACTCTGCTTGTTTCCACCTGCAGTCTTGGCTGATGGGAAGGCCTGATACAATAGGATGGGGTGGGGTGAGATGGGATAGGATAGGATAACCCTTATTGACCTGTTTTTCTGTGAAAACACTGGCACACATTAAAAAACGAAATTCTGATGCCCACTCTCGAAAGAATATCAATACCGTGTTTCCCCGAAAATAAGACCCAAAAAAGGCACCAGATCTTATTTTCGGGAGATGTAATCCACTGACTAACCTCACTTGTGTGCATTGTCCCTGGCCACCTTTTCACTGTCAGAGGCCTTCAGGAACTTCTTCTTCTGTGGCCAGCTAGGCTTTCCTGAAGGCCTCTGCAGCCGATAAGAGAGCTCTGGATCGATCCAGAGCTTTGTTATCAGTGGCAATGGCGTTAATGAAAGCCTTGACAGCCTTGATGGCTGCAGAAGAAATGGGCTGGCAAGGCAGAGGTCGGGGTGTGCGAGGCCTGGCTACAACTGTCCAAAAGTAAGTAGTAGGGCAGCTCCACCATCCCCATCTCCACCCTAGTTTAATTTTTACCTGTGCACTCTGGAGTGGGTGGGGTCTTAATTAGGGCTTATTTGGGGAGTAGGGCTTATATTGGGCGCACATGTAAAAATCAAGCTAGGACTTACTTTCAGGGTAGGTCATATTTTTGAGGAAACAGGGTATCTATCTATATCTATATATCTCAAAAGAATATCCATAATTATATATCAATCTATATCTATCTATCATCTATCTATCTATCTATCTATCTATCTATCTATCTATCTATCTATC